AATTTGAGAATTTTTTGCTTAGGCTAAGGAGCGATAAGCAATTTGATTGGTCTAGACTTTGGAACATAACAACTCTGCTTTTAATTGAGGGAGAAAATTTTAACTTGATGTAGATGTTCATAAGGCGAATGTCTTGAGTTCAGTGATTAACATTTCCCGCTAGAGCTAAGCAATTTTATTGGGCGATGCTTTGGGACAAAATAACTTTGATTCTATCTGATAGAGAGTAATGAAACTGAGTGTATGGTTTATAATCAGTTTGATTGCTTGATACTTTTGAAAAAAGGGGGGTTGGATGGCCGAATGGTTAGCACCTGCGCGATGTATCATAAGGCCTGTCATTGAGTCAACTGGCGTGGTTTCGAATCCCCGGTTGTACGTGACAAGGAGTAGGGTCGCGTGTCCAACCTCATGGGTTTCCTCCCACTGCTAAAGACCCCTACGCTCAAGCAAATTATTGAAATAAGATTAAAACCATATGTTAGTCCCGAAACGACCTAGTTTTTGTCGAGTGGACATTGAACCTCATTTCTCTCTCTCTCTCTCACTTTTGAAAAAGATAAATATGCAATTAATTAATATGTGTCATCTATTTATATTGGGATTTCGGTGGAGGACATCAGCCTTACTGTTGGCAAATAATAGTGAGGGCATCGGAATTGGGTCATTCATAGTCACAACACATTTAAGGGTCAAATAGAAGATATTTTATAGAAAATCCTATTCTTTTTCATTTGTCTGAAAGTAATTGAAGAATTTTGATAACTAAATGTGGTAAGGATCACCCTAAGATGATAAAGATAAGAGTTTGTCTGAATGTTACTCATCGAATGCAATTGCTTGATCCCATAGTTTTGGTGAAACAACACCTTAATAGTACAAACTTTCGACTCCTCCAAACCTTTTAATGGGTTTAAAGTTTAAAGAAAATTAAATAGTATGTTGATTGAGTGATATGATACTTGTCTAGGATTTTTCAACTGAGCAAGAAATGGACCAGAGGCTGGAATTGGAAGGAAGAGAGCAGAGAGGGTGATTCTTCTAAAAGTCATGATGAATTGCAGATAAATTCATAACCTATTGCCAGCATTATGCAGGAACAGCTTTAAAGAGAAATTGTGTTGAAAATGTTCCCGTTAAAAGCTGCCACTGCATAAACCCTGGCAATAGGTTTGGAATTTAGCTGCAGTCCATCACCAGTTTTAAGAGAATCAAGTATAATCCACAATGTATAAGTATGTCACTTCATGGTGCCAATGTCAGTTTCGTGCAGAGGTTTGATGATGCCAGGGTCATTATTTGCCTTGACCACCAATGCAATACTCAAGTATGCGACCTGAGAAATGTGAGAAAAGATAAAAATCAGATGAAATAAACTTTCTACAATAGTGATGGTCCGATATGGCACCTATTGCTTTTACCAATATCAGATATTGACAGCGAGATAATCGGCCGATACAGATACAATTACTGATAGTGGTGGATATAAAACTATTACACATAAAATGCGTCGAATGGCATGATAATGTATGTAGATATATGTCACGCATTGTACTATTTTACCTCGCGAATCAAACAGGAACGCTGTGCTTTTGAAGTAATAAAATTGGGTCACGTTTCCTACGCAATCACAAATACACTCCAACTTTATTATTTGCTGTATCATTAATGAATAAAGTCGAGATTATCATATTTTAAGTTGTGATTACGATATAATTCCCTAGAGTGATCGGCACCTGTATGTTTATAATAGATGTCAGAATGGTTAATGCCGTAATGAATGATGCATCAAAGCGGTAGCTTACTGACCTGTCTGTCAACAGCAGCAATCATGTGACATTCTCCCCCCATTTCTAGAACTATAATTACAAATAAAACCATCAAATGAGAACTTATTTGTTGGTAATATTATTAATTAATAAACTATGATCTATATTTTAAGTTATTATTTGTTGACACAAATATTTCTAAATTTTTAAAGTAGCCTAGCATAACAATACAAATCTCTAAATTTTTTCTAAATTTTAATCGTCATCTAGAAGCCGAAATGTTTGACAGTAATCACGTGACATCAAAGGGATATCCCCCCTTTCATCTTTCATTCCAATCACGGGTAAACCGTGATATTTTCCCACCTTTTCCAAAACTTCTACTCATTATGATAGTGTCCAGACAATACTGGCAGTGAACTAGATAAAACGAAGAAAAAAAAAGGCTGTGAAGTAGTAAGATTTGGAACTATTTCACGATAACCGACAGCACAAGACTTGTGACGCTTCATACCAGCCGGTATGCAATGATGAGCCATTGTTGACATCTTCTTTGGTTTTATTATCGAGAATCATGATAGACAAAGGATTATTGTCAGGACCATTGTTTATTTCATATAGTTAAACATACATTATGCAAGAGCAAAATCTGATTATTGCAAGTCTTAATTTAGGCTTCAGATGTTATAGAAATTATAAATTAGAGATCTTTATTTAAACAACAAGCCCAAAATCAACTCTGTAGACCCACGGATGGCTCGGCTACAGCTTGGATTTAAATAGGAGTTCACTTATTGATAAATTCAAATATGGCGCACACTGATGAGAATACGTCAGTTAGATCGAGGCTAAATGATAGAGTGTACTTAGCGAGGCCGCTGTAGAGCGTTTCCGCATGCCATTGAAAACTTTACATGATAATCCAGATATGTAGGTGGAGTTAACGCCTGTCAATCAAACGTTCGGCCAAGGTGAAGGTACATTTCACGACCATTTCTAGTCAAATATTACAACGATGATAACTATGTTCAGAATAAAGTAATTTGACTGAAATTTTCAATATATTCTTCTTTCATCATCTACTTATGAACTGTCAACGTAACGGTTAATCTCCGCTTACGACGCCATTTAAAAATTTAATCAATCAATGAAATCTTGTTTAAATCCAAGCCGAATCCAAGCCATCCGTGGGTCTACAGAGTTGATTTTGTGCTTGTTGTGTAAATAAAGATCTAATTTATAATTTCTATGACATCTGAAGCCTAAATAAAGACTTGCTATAATTAGATTTAGCTCTTGCCTAATGTATGTTTATCAAAATTCTTGAACTTCTTTCAGATTAACTCTTTGTTTCAAAGATATCCATTCAGCCATTATGAAAAAGATGCAGATTTGGTAATTTGACCCTTAAATGTGTTGTGACTTCAGTGCCTACATGTATACCCTTTGAAAAGACTATAAATGCCCCAATTTGGAAGGGGTATCCAATATTTTAAATAACAACTATTCAGTAACATGGAAGCATATGATTTAAACTGTGTACCACGTGTTTGTCACAGAATCGTAATAGTTTAAAGCAAAAGGTCAAAAGAGCTAACTATCAATGTTGCATTACAGAGTCCAGAATCTATATTGGCACTGTTGCCCTATGTTTCGGTGTTTAAACAACTTCTTAGTCGATAACTCTCAAAATAACATTACTACTCAATCTGAGTGCACAAATCCGATAGATGATTCAAAATACTGACTCTTGAGTGTGTTTTCTGTGATTAACGAGTCATATCACGGAATGCATTATTATTTAGTGCATTATAATTATTATGATAGCTGTAAGCCTGTAATATATGAAGGATAAGATTTATGGATATCTGGAACAATTTATCGTTGTTATTATTACATGTGTAGGCCTATTCGTGAAAATGCTTAATTTCTGTATGCTATCTCCTTTCAAGTTAGTTTTATCAGCTTGGAAATGTCATATTCATGTTTCTTGTCCCCCACAACCCCTGAAACGACATATCACATGTATATGTTGATATTGGTATTGAAGGAATATTTTGAGAACTAATTTCTGTCGCCATTTTGGATTTGGGTGGCCATATTGGATCAATCTTTTGTGAGATGAATCGGAAACTGTCCAAAATGTGTTGGGTGACCAACAAAACCTATAAAATGATATAATACATTGGTCATTTCGCCAACAATGTCTGTCAATTTCAGATCATTTTTGGCTGCCATCTTGGATTTTCGACTCACATGGAGTTAGCCTGTAGATTTCAGAGGTAGCAAACTACAAATATCTTCACTAGGGTCCCGTCTATCAGAAACCATCATCAAACCTTGTTCCCCGAGAAATGGTCACGGATCTGGGGGTTGTGACCTAACTATATAGCTTTTACACTGGCAGTGAAATAGTGTCACGTCAGAAATTCTTCTTTTCATATCCTTATTGTCGGACATGGAAATACAGTCCATAAAGCAAACTTCTGTCACTAAAACATTAAAATGTGGATGTATATTGTTGCCACCCTGTGTGTCCGTCGTCCACAATTAATGTCAGTTATGGCCCTTGTACAATTGGAAAAATTTTGTGGGCGCTCCAGAGGCTAAGTAGTAAGGGCGGGAGGACTGCACCACACATCATATAGCCATTGTTTGCCCATCCATCACCTTTTGTTTCAAGAGCAGAACTGTACACTCATCAGCCTCATGCTATTGGAGAAGGCGGGGGGGATGGCCGAATGGTTAGCGCGTGCGCGTTGTATCATAAGGTCTGTCATTGAGTCAACTGGTGTGGTTTCGATTCCCCAGTTGTACGTGACAAGGAGTAGGGTTGCCTGTCCAACCTCATGGGTTTTCTCCGGGTCCTCCGGTTTCTTCCCACTGCCAAAGACCCCTACGCGCAAGCGAATTGTCGAAATAAAATTGAACCATTTGTTAGTCCCGAAATGAAATTGTTTGATTCGAGTGACCGTTAAACCCTCCTTCCCTTTGTTGGCAACAAAATGTTTTGTTGCCTACCAACCTATCTTGTATTTTGTGGTCATGTGAAAAGTAAACTGATTTTGTTTTGTTTTCACTTTTGAATCCAGATAACTTCTCCAAACATCTTGACCAGATTAGTTTGTGGTGTGAAAGCAAATTAAAGATTTGATTATAACTGATTTGTAGTCTGTAACTCATGTAATTATACAAAACACCTGGGTAATCAATAATCATACATATTCACAGCTGGGTTAAAAGGTTATGAAGAACCTGCATCAAGTAAAACACCAATGTCTGACACACAATCTAACACAGATATTTTGAATTGGTCCGTTGATGATGTATGTGAGTGGATTAGTTCGCTTGGTTTAGAGGTTTATAAAGACATGTTTAGAGCTCAAGCTATAGATGGTGTGGAACTGTTGGCTTTAAATACAAATGATCTTCAATCAGCTCTCGGTATAGGTATGTATCTTTATAATTTACAATGTTCAATGCTAATTATTTAAAAATCAATAGGGCTCATTCCCCCACACCAAATTAGTAAAAAATTACTTAAGAATTGTAGCCACCTTTTCCGAGAGACTATAATTTCTGCGACCTGCCACCTTTGTCGAAAATTTAGTGTGAAGCATTCTGGTCATGAGAGAGCAAATCCTATTCATATTAATAATTTTTCAACCTTCCTTTACCCATCCTTTGCCAAAAACCTTGTTAACGATGATAGAGACTATGGTTAATGCTTTTTTCAAATTTGGAATGTGAATCATTGGGTTCATGAGAGGGCGAACATCGATAATCAGTACGTGTTCTTCCATTTCTTCCTCCTCCCCTCCCCGAAAAACTTGTGAATGTGATAGAGGCTACAATTTTGAATGGATTCCTTTCAAATTTGTTGTGAAGCATTTTGGTCTTAAGAGGACGTTCCCTGGCCTTACGTTCCAGATTTATCCCCCCCCCCTTTTTTCGAATAATGTTTCAACAGATTATTTTCAAGATTATCAACATGATAGAGGTTCAATTTCTTGAATTACCTTAAAAGGATCCTTATCAAATATGGTCAACATCCAAGTTTTACTTTCAAACAGTAAAGCTGCTATCACTTTCTTTTTTTACACTCACATTTTCATGTGAACGTATATTGTTGTCGCCACTATTTGTCCGTCCGTCCACAGTTTGTTTGTGGACACTCTACAGGTCACAATTTTTATCCAATTTCAACGAAACTTGAAATATAGCTTTATATTCCAGAGATCTCGGTTCCTTTCGATATTGGCATGTATTGGACCGTAACATCATGGATTATGGCCCCTGATTGTACAAAAAATCGCTTTTTTAGCTTGTGCACCCTATAGAGGTCATAATTTTTATCCGATTTAAAAAACTGTTTTAGTATAACACCGTTACACCCTAAGGATGGCCGAGTTCGAATTTTGTGAAAATCGACCCAAAACTAACAGACAAAATGGCCGCCCCTCGTTCTCAAATAGCGTAAAAATATGGTATATCAAGGTTGTGGACCCTATGGAGGTCACAATTTTTATCCGATTTTGATGAAACTTGAAATGTAAGTTTATAACCCAAAGATCTTGGTTCCTTTCGATATTCGCGCATATCTGACCGTAACTTCCTGAATTATGGCCCCTGATAGTACGAAAAATCTCGTTTTTAGCTTGTGCACCCTATAGAGGTCATAATTTTTATCCAATTTAAAAAAACATTTTAGTATATTTACACCCTAAGGATGGCCGAGTTTGAATTTTGTGAAAATCGACCCAAAACTAACAGACAAAATGGCCGCCCCTCGTTCTCAAATAGCGTAAAAATATGGTATATCAAGGTTCTGGACCCTATGGAGGTCATAATTTTTATCTGATTTTGATGAAACTTGAAATGTAAGTTTATAACCCAAAGATCTTGGTTCCTTTTGATATTCGCACATATCGGAGAGTAACTTCCTGAATTATGGCCTCTGATTGTACGAAAAATCGTGTTTTTAGCTTGTGGACCTATAGTGTTCATAATTTTTATCCGATGTAAAAAAAGTTTTGAATATATCACTGTTACACCCTAAGGATGGTTGAGATCGAATTTCCTAAATTATGGCCCCTGATAGTACGAAAAATCGAGTTTTTAGCTTGTGCACCCTATAGAGGTCATAATTTTTACCGATTTAAAAAAAAATTTGGAATATATCACTGTTACACCCTAAGGATGGTTGAGATAGAATTTCGTAAAAATCGGACTAAAACTAACAGACAAAATGGCCGCCCCTCGTTCTCAAATAGCGTAAAGATATGGTATATCAAGGTTGTGGACCCTATGGAGGTCACAATTTTTAACCGATTTTTATGAAACTTGAAATGTAAGTTTATAACCCACAGATCTCAATTCTTGTCAATATTCGCGCATATCGGATAGTAACTTCTGGAATTATGGCCTCTGATTGTACGAAAAATCGTGTTTTTAGCTTGTGGACCCTATAGTGGTCATAATTTTTATCCGATTTAAAAAAATGTTCAATTATATCACTGTTACAGCATAATTTTGGTTGACTTCGAATTTCGTGAAAATCGGACCAAAACTGCCGGACAAAATGGCCACCCCTCGTACACAATTAGCGTAAAAATATGGTTTATCAATGTTTTGGATCCTCTAGATGTCACAATTTTCTTCTGATTTTGATGAAACTTGAAATGTAAGTTTATAACCCATAGTTCTTGTTTCTTTCCAATATCAGCGCATATTGGATCGTAACTTCCTTAATTATGGCCCTTGATTGAACAAAAAATCACGTTTTTAGCTTGTGGTCCCTGTAGAGGTCACAATTTTTGTCTGATTTAAAAAAAATGTGTGAATATATCACCATTACACACTAAGATCTTGGATCCATTTGATAATCGCAGATACCCAAACTTAACTTCCTGGATTATGTATGGCAACTGATTGTTCGAAAAATGGCATTTTTAGCTTGCGGATTCTGTAGAGGTCACAATTATTTTTTTCCGATTTTAAAAACCGTTTAAATATTTCACCATTCCACCATAATGAAGGTTGAATTGGAATTTCGGGAAAATCGAAATGAAACTGCCCAACAAAATGGCCGCTCTTTGTAAGCAAATTGTGTAAAAGTATGTAATACGAAGGTTGTGGACCCTCTAGAGGTCACAATTTTTATCCGACTTAAAACGTATCTTTATATCCCAAAGATCTCAGTCCCTATTGATATTTACGCATTTCAGACCATAACTTCTGGATTATTGCCCCTGATTGTACAAAAAATCCTGTTTGTTTTTAGCTTGTTTTTATCCATGTCTTGCAAAATGTGGGCGTATCCTGCCTGGCAGCCCCTGGTTTCTGACACTAAGCTATGTAGGCATATTTGCAAGGGAGCATTTACAAGACACTATACATTGATAAAAAGTAACAAATAATAAGGCTTCTTCATCTCATGAATAGAAACACATTAAACCGAATGATAACATTGGAATCTACAGCGTCCACAAGTTTTTACTATGATATCAAGGGCCATAACTCTGACAGTAATTATGGATGACAGATGAACATACAGGGTTGATGACAATGTATGACTGCATTTAATGTGGGCATGCAAAAGGGAATCCAATAAGCTTATCTACAGTGAACTTATTTTCTACTAACCCTAGAAATGTTAATTTTTTAAAATAAGAGGTTTGTATTATTTACAGCACCACTTGGACATAGAAACAAGATACTTAGATGTAGAAGTAAACTTGAAACTCACCCAGTTGTTTCGAAACTTGATAAAGGTAAAAGCCATTTACTTCTACTATAATATGAACATGAAATATATATTCTCTTAGACTATTATATCCTGTTGTTTTTAGCAAAAGTTTACTGACTTTGATGTTATTGTCTCCTGACTTTCAAAAAAAAACAAGGGACTATTGAAATAGGTTCGTCTGTCTGTCTGCTTCTAATTGAGGTAGAATGTTCCAACTAGGTGTAAATGTTCATTAGTTAAATGTCTTGCGTTCTGTGTTAAGCATTTTCTGCTTAAGCTAAGTGATTTGATTGGTCGAGCCGTTGTAACACAATAACTCTGCTTCTAATTGAGGTAGAATATTCAAACTTGGTGTATATGATGATTAGGTGAAAGTTTTGACATAGTTGGATAATATCATTTTCTGCTTAAGACTAAACAGAGATAAGTAATTTAATTTGCTGATGCTTTAAAACATGAATTTGAATGGTTGAGGAGAGTGATGAAACTGTATTTCACAACATCATTGCTTTGATGAAGTAATAGTAATTTGATAGCTTGATGCTATATAAAAAGATAAATGTGCAAGTAATTTATAATATGCATCATCTATTTATTTTTATATTAGGGCAGGGGTCACTGTTGATTTGATTATTTTTATTTAGATGTACCAGATGAGTATCTGTGTCCTATTACTAGAGAAATTATGGCTGATCCTGTTATTGCATCTGGTATGTTTTCATTTATTAGTCCTCTACCGGTTAAGCTGAAGGGAGATTAGTTTTTATCTTTATCTGTCCGTCTGTCAGTCTTTTTTGTGCAGAATTTAAAAAAAAATAGATTTGTAAGCTTAAGAATAGAGATCAGATTTTTTGACTAAGGATCTGTATCAAATTTGGTCAACATCCAAGTTTTCTTTTCGAATAAGCTGCTATGGTTACATTTTGCGAGACATAATTGGTGTGTGGCAGGGCCGGATTATGTCATTTATTATAATGTATATGTTTGTGCCAAATAAATCTACAATACTGACATACAGATGCGTGCTGGGCAGGTATTCCACCTACCCTACCCTCAGATATCCAAAAACAAAAGAAACTGGAAATGTTTGATAACACTTGAATCCGATGAGATTCCAACCAGGGTATAGGGGGAAGATTCGGCTATGTGCCCTCGCTTTTGAAAAAGTGCCCTCCCTTCTAAAAATTGCCTTTGAATTTCCAAAGAGTTACCTCCAAATACTCATGGAAATGTCCCTGATACTTTGAAAAATCTCGATTTTAGATTGTGGACCCTCTAGAAGCCACAGTTTTGATGAAACTTGAAATGCATGTTTATAACCCAAATATCTCGTTTCCTTTCAATATTCGCGCATTCGATGGCCACTCCTTGTTTGCAAATTGTGTAAAAGTATGTAATACAAAGGTTGTGCACCCTCTAGAGGTCACAATTTTTATATGCCCACATTTTCATGTGGACGTATATTATCGTCGGCCCTGTCCATCCGTCCAGACATACGTCCACAATTTGTTTGTGGACACTCTACGGGTCACAATTTTTATCCGATTTTGATGAAACTTAAAATATAGGTCTATCTCCCAAAGATCTTGGTACCTTTCGATATTGACATGTATCGGACCAAACATCATGGATTATGGCCCCTGATTGTACAAAAAATCACGTTTTTAGCTTGTGGCCACTCTAGAGGTCACAATTTTGATCCGATTTTGATAAAACTTGAAATGCATGTTTATAACCCAAATATCTTGTTTCCTTTCGATATTTGCGCATATCGGGACGGATTGTAACTTCCTGAATTATGGCCCCTGATTGTACGTACAAAAAATCAGTGCAAAGTTGGCAATCTGCACGCCAGCTTCATAAGCCACGCACGCACAGAGTTTAATCTGCGCAGTACATAGGACACCGCAGATTGCAAAGATTGCGCCTAACATACGCAAATAGTGTAAAAAATATGGTATATCAAGGTTGTGGACCCTCTAGAGGCCACAGTTTTTATCCGATTTGGATGAAACTTTAAATGTATGTTTTTATCATAAAGATCTTGGTTCCTTTTGATAATCACACATATGTGAACGTAACTTCCTGGTTTATGGCCCCTGATTGGTCGAAAATTCGCATTTTAGCTTGTGGATTCTCTAGAGGTAACAATTTTTTTTCCGTTTTTAAAAACCATTTAGATATATCACCATTCCACCATAATGAAGGTTGAATTGGAATTTCGGGAAAATCGAAATGAAACTGCCTGACAAAATGGCCGCTCTTTGTATGTAAATTGTGTATAAGTATGTAATACAAAGGTTATGAACCCTCTAGAGGTCACAATTTTTATCCGATTTTGATGAAACTTAAAACATATTCTTATATTCCAAAAATCTCAGTCCCTTTTGATATTTGCGCATTTCAGACCATAACTATCTGGATTATGGCCCCGGATTATACAAAAAAATTGTTTTTGTTTTTAGCTTGTTCTCTATCCATCTCTTGGAAAATGTGGGCGTATCCTGCCTGGTCGCCGATGGTTATCAGCTTTTGATGAAACTTGAAATGTATGTTTTTACCCAAAGATTTTGGTTCCTTTTGATATTCATGCATATCAGACCATAACTTCATTGATTTTGGCCCCTGATTGTATTAGCTTGTTCTCTATCCATCTCTTGCAAAATGTGGGCATATCTTGCCTGTCAACCACAAATTCTCTGATTTAGACGAAACTTGAGTTCAAAATTTGAACTTCAAAGGTTCTCAGATGAAATTGATGTTGGTGTGCAACCCAGTAACTTCTTGGGTCATGGCCCCTGCTTTTTGGCTAAGTGTGCATGTCACTGTATGTACATCAAACAGTTCCAACAATTTTGGCACGGTTCATAATTATTATCATTAATAATTATAACACATGTCTGTCTGACCGTTCGTCCATAAGTCAAAATTTCTTTGTGATTGAGGATGAGTCCTATTGATTTTCCCAGGAGTCAGTTCATCGCTTGAAAATGTGGGCGTATTAACTTGTTAAATTTTCTTGGTGTCAATGGCTCTAGGGAGGACCAACAATGATTCTCCTGGCAAGTGTTATTTTTGTTTTAGATGGTTATACATATGATCGTTCTGGTATAAAAGCATGGATGGAGAGTGGTAAAAACAGGAGTCCTATGACCAATGCTGTATTAGCTCATGGAACACTTCTACCTAATAGAACCTTGAAAATGCTTATTCAGAGATATCAAATGATGGCGTCTCAATGAGACCAATGGATCTACTGGTACTTGCCTTATTTGTTTTATAAGATACCCTTTTTATACAATAGATCTCTGTACGTCAGTTTGTGGACACTCTACTGGAGACTAAAGTTATCATCCAATTGACTTGAAATTTATACACAGTGTTTATGAGATGAAGGCAATAGATTTTCAATGACTTCGTATAATTACTCTCATCAAAGTTATGGCCCTTGATCATGTAGACAAATCCTGCGGACACTCTGATAGTCTGGTGGCTGAAGGGGGGGGGGGGGGTCGCCACCCGAGCCGTGAATTTATGAGACCATGTTTTTCTAGACCATTTTTTTTATGCATAGATTCCAAATCTGGATGGTGATCAGGCATTTGAGGGGGCGTTTTCAGGCCTCGTCATTTGAGAAATGATGGAGAGCCATAAACAGTCCTCCTGAAAATCCTGAGGAGATTGATTCACTATCCTGGAATTTAACTACTTAAAACTGAATATATTTTGAGTGTATCTGTAATGGTGCAACTGTAATGTATTTTATTTGTCCCAAAAGTCCAAATAAAATAATCTACTTAAATGCTATCAAGTTTCTGTTTGTTTAATTTCTTTAAGTAAGAAGACATAAAATTATCAAAAAAATACTGAACATATACAATAAAAACTGACTAGTGTTCCATATATAGATGAAGTTATCACAGTATTTTCATCAAGAAGAGGATACAATTATCATTCATGGAAACAAGACTTACAGAATATAACAAATTTAACAATATGAATTCGTCTGCTAAATGCAGCCATTTTGCTGCGGCGAAAGCGATCCCTGTTGGCGAGGTTAGATGAGATAACGATAGATTAAGTTGTCAAGGTATTTTCATCAAGAAGAGGATATAATTATCATTCATGGAAACAAGATTTACCAAATAAAAATAAGAATTCGTCTGCTAAATGCAGCCATTTTGCTGCGGCAAAAAGGCGATCCGTGTTTGCGAGGTTAGATGAGATGACGCTAGTATCGAAGATCGGTCATATTACGTGATATGTATTTTTGGGCACAGAAACCTCTTGGTTCAAAATTGATTCGAAAAGTGTTTTCTCATTAGCTTTTTCGTTCAGTACCAATTTCGTCATTCAAAATATTAAATTATAATGGTATTTGTCAAGAGATCTGGAAATGTACATAAAAAAAACAGTAAACATGAAACATGTTTAGATATTAGTTTATTCTTATATTCTTCATCAAAAGATTCAAAATCAAAGTTCATAATATGAGCCGGATAAATATCTTCTTGATGGCTGATCAACAGCTCGCATATATCCTTTGGATATGCTTCAGATACCCATTCACATAGAAAATCTTCATTCTAGCCTTGTATTGCAGGGTCATCTTGTTCGATCACTGCTTTTGCAGTCTGTCTCTATATTTTTGCAACATAATTGTTGCATTTAATGTGCAGCAAAAGGCTACTCAGGCAAGATGGTAATAAGGAAAGAAAGGTTTATTATTTTTCATCACAAATAAAATTCATCCAAAAAATCTTTCTTCTAGTGTCATCTACTGATGTAAGTCGTCTTTCGGCGTACATAGTACAAACAATTTTTTTCTAAACCGATAGTCATTACGACTGAAAGCATGTAGACAGAGATATTGCGTTCTTACTGGAGCGAAATAGACATCCCAATCATTCTCCTCGCAAACGATGATCCAAATATACACATTTTGATCAATAATGAGATGGGCAAAGGTAGAAAATAACGCGGAAGGCGACTCACATCAGTAGATGACGCTAGAAGAAAGATTTTCTTCATGAAAAAATAACGGACCTTTCTTTATTATCACCTTGCCGTAGTGGTCTTTTGCTGCATGGCTGGAATGAAGATTTACAATGTGAATGGGCATCTGAATTATATCCAAAGGATATATGCGAGCTGTTGGTCAGCAACCAAGAAGATATTTATCTCGCTCATATTATGAACTTTTGATTTTGAATCTTCTGATGAAGACTAAGAATAAACTAATATCAAAACGTATCTCTGATTTACTGTGTTTATGATTTACATTTCCAGATCGCTTGAAAAGTACTATTATAATTTAATATTTTGAATGACTTAACTGGTACTGAACAAAAGAGCTAATGAGAAACCACTTTTAAGGTAAATTTTGAGGCAAATGATTTCTGTCCACAAAAATACATGTTGCTCCCCAGGCACTCACCCCCAGCACCCACCCCCACACAATATGAATCTTATAAACATATTTAGAGATGTTTCATCAAGCTCTTAAGAAAATCATCATTTAAATCAATGTGAACTCATTTCCCGCCAATTTTACCCCGCCCGCCCCTCTCCAAAATCACCCTCCCCACTTCGCCACAAATCAAAACAGTTGTCCAGGGGCATCATATACACTTCTTTAGAGATGGACAGTCCTAGAAATTTATGTTTTATCAATATATAACATGATCATCATTAATGTCAACATAATCACATTTTTCCTCAATTGTAGACATTGGTCCCCCCCATATGTCGAAAATGCCCCCCCCCCCCCCAAACACCTGCTCACCACCCAGATTCGGAATCTACGCAAAAAACTTGTTCTAGAAAACATTGGTCTCATAAATTCACAGCTTGGCTGGCGATTCCCCCCCCCCCATCCCCCTTTAGCCACCGGACTATGAGGCTAAACTTATCATTGTTTATTACAAATAGATTGTTTTAAGCATCTGGTAATGGCTCACATTACCGACAGAAAATAATAAAACGATGTGACAGCCTTTAGAAACTGTCCCAACGATTTAGCTGATGTGGCATTATTTTTCAAACCAATCTTTAGGTTAATTATGTTTTGTAAACAATTGAGCTACATTAGGATACTATTAACCTAGACATAATTTTAATATGCCTAGATTCATACATGTATATTGTATTATTGCTCCATGCCTTTCAAAGAATACAGGGGACTATTAAAATGGGCCTGTTCATCTATCACACTTTTTGGGACACAATAAGTCTGCTTTTAATTGAGCTAAAATTTTCAAACTTGGTGTAGGTGTTTATTAGGTAAATGCCTTGATGAGCATTTTCTGCCTAGGATATAAATATGCAATTAAAAAAATGTATGTCATCTAATTACTTTTTATATGCCCACATGGAAATGTGGTTGTATATTGTTGTCCGTCCGTCATCCACAATTTCTTGTGAACACTCTACAGCAGGGGTGTCAAACATGTGGCCCAAATCTGGCCCCCAAGGGTTTAAATGTGGCCCGTAGAACAAATTTCAACAAATTAACTGTTGATAATTCTTAGAAACTAGTGATGGAAGTCATTTATTATTGTTTTCCAGTTTCAGTAAAACTTCTGTACTGTATGTCATAGATATCGTGTTCAATATTACATCTTGGCATTTTGGAAACCAGTGTAAAAAATTACCTTCAAGGACGTTTAGCTTTGTTTTTAGAATTCAGTAAAGTTCAAGGACATTTGGCTTTATCATGATATTTTTGTATATCTCCGGCCGACTTGGTGTAAAAATTTTAGTTCATGTGGCCCCTTAAGTGAAATAAGTTTAACACCTCGGCTCTACAGGCTACATTTATCATCAGATCTTTTATATATGTTGTTTACATTAGTGAGAAGATGAAACCTATTAAATTATCACCTGATCTCCATTAAATTTGTATGCATCATTTAAATCACCAAATTTATATGCATAATTTAAATTATGAAATGAAGAAGCCTATTGCATTTCAGCAATTTACTTCAATTACTTGTTATAGCCCTTGTTTTACTTTGTTGAACTTGTGAACGTTCGAATGACAAAAGTTATCATCCCATCTGTATGAAATTTATATCCATTATTTAAATTAGTAAAAGGAAAAAACCTGTCGAATTTCAACAATTTCTGGATATTACTTCCAGAGTTAAGGCCCTTGTTTCAGTTTGTGGAACCTTGTGAACCCTCAAATGACAAAATTTATAATCTGATCTGTATGAAATTGTCTTGTAAATGCCCCGAAATTACCTACAAAAGAATAAATATGCAATAACCCTTGTTGCCCGCTCGGACGATTTAGTTGCTGTGGGTGTATGTTTCGTTGCCTGGCAACCTATATGTTTTTGTTATCTATCATTAAAAGACAATTTTATGTCTCCTATGTATTAGGGTACCTTAATTCTCTCAGAATTAAATTGACGTATATATATATATTGTGCAGTTTTTATTAATAAATATTATTTTTATATGAAAAGAAATGAATTATGTATTGTCTGACTTGGTGTTACTGTCTGAACCGTGGTAAATTTTTAAACAGATTTCTTTGATTATGAACAAACTACTTAATTATGTTTATTAAAAACTTGCCTGTGTGTTTGAAAGCACCTGCGGTTAAATCAAATCCATTGTACAATTGAATATCTCTACGAATAAAAAAGTTCTATCTTGCAAAATTGAACTCCTCACAAACTTTGACATCAAGAAATACAAAAATGGAAGCTAATTATGTTACTTTTTAGGATAGATCATTTCGTACAAGGGGGTGGCAGCAATTAAGGCGTGTCTTTCGTAACGGTGGGGCTTGTTTCGACAATTCAAACTTTGTGTATGAATACCCTTGGATCTGTGTATCGGTAATTGGTGATATATAATTTAGTAAACTGACAATCAATTGTTTCCGTATTAATCTCCCATATCAATGTTTTCAGTTGATATTTTTGTTTCTCAAAGTCGACCGTGTGTTGTTTTGATTGCAATACAAGTGGTTGTCAAAATTTGTCAACCTTTATTCCCCTCCAACATATTAGAATAGTTTCGTTCATCACATGACGTGCGATTAGGCCATATGGAATCAATTTAGTTGAATGTTCACAAGTCTTGAATACATTCAGATAGGTCAAATTTAGGACCATTGCTGCAGTGTGGCTGAAAAAAGACAGAAATGAAAAGGTTATGGCTATAGTTCCAGATGATGGCGAATATAGGACAAATTTGAAAATAATATCAGGGATAAATGTTTTCAGAAGATTTGCTAACAGAAGAGATACGAAAATAAGTTTTGATTAGTAGGATCAGTATTTCATGAAATGATTACAGTTGGAAGGACCAGAAGCGATTTGCCAAGTTATATTTATAGCACGGCTTTCATGAGTTAACAGGTTTAACTAGAGGCCGAAGGCCGGGGGGTAAACCTGTTAACGAATGAAGCGTGCTATAAATGACTTGTAACATTGACAACTGCTCAACATGCTTAGTGTTATTGCACAGAAAACCCACCCCACTTCTCTATATGAATTCTACTAAAACTAGTGTAAACCAGCAAAAGTGTGCAATAGCATTGAACATGTCCAGTTATTGCACAGATAAGCTCCACCCATCTACTAGAGGGAAAACAATCTGCTTATTCAACGAAAAGAACAAAGGAAGGTTTCCCATTCATGTTACAAGGTAAGTTAGTTAGGCCTAGTTGAAAACTAATGGTTAGAAAGTTTGTTAATCTAAATCTACATTTGATCATTTGTTCCTTGCCTTTCGACAAATGAGTTCCTGTGTGCAAATTGACAGTGCACATTTGATATTTCGAGGGAGTG